TATTTACTGAAGTGTTTTTGCAGACATTAATTCAGTATTTACTATAGCATTTTTTATTTATTATCTTTGACAGAAGTGGGCGCATAGAAGAGCAAATTTAGGATGGTAGGTCTGGAGTCTGTACAGATAGTTTAGCGCTTCTGCTCATTTACATAACTTGAAGGAAGCACACTACAGTATATGGTCTATACTTGACATGTAGGTTTCTCATTCATGGGTGGCGCAAATTGTGATATGGGGGATGGGAATGGGTGGAGTATATGCAAATTCAATACTGTAGCATTACTATAGTTTTTTAAAAAACGGTAGTGTTTTTGCATACTGTAGTGTTTAGGACATTACTGTAGCATTTACTAGTGTTTTTTTTTCAGATAATACTGTAGTATTTACAGTATACTACAAAATTCTATAGTTTGTACTCCACATGATCAAGGGATAGTACAGAGTGTAGTATAGTATTTTACAGTATACTACAACATTCTATAGTAAGTACTACACAATCGAGGGATACTACAGTGTTTAGTATAGTATTCTACAGTATACTACAAAATGATATAGTAAGTACTACACATGATCGAAGGATACTATGGTGTGGAAAAAAGTATTCTATAGTAAACTGTAGTATTTTTTCATGTGGATAACCCCACCACCCACCACAAATACAGCTTCAACTCTTCAACAACAGGAATAATTCATGTAAAATAACAAGGCTAGGCTATAATGACAAGGCCTAGAGAGGCATGGTGCGTGTCAATGCTCTTCCCTCAGGTTAGAGGGAAAGAATAAAGGGCTAGATCAAATAGACTTAGACACACTATTCTGATCAATCACCTGCACAACATACCATGAAATGGTTCCAGTCTATCACTAGGAGATACACAATGCCAGAGACAGGATTTGTAAGAAATTTGAGAGGTTATGCAGATCTAGTCTGGTGTTTTAACCTGTTTGACTATAACTACCCGTAGACTTACCTGTCAGGGAGTTTCCTGTTTGATCAGTGCACTAACAGGGATTTGGGAGGGGCAAATACAAAGAAAATATTACAAAATGGGGACCAGAGAAATAATCCTGATGTGCATATAGTTCCCTGTGCCTAACCCCACTACGAACACAGCTTCATCTCTTCAACAACTGTAGGAATAATTCAGTAGGTATCGTTCAAAATAACAAGGCTAAATTGGGCTGTGATGAGTAGGCGGATCAAGGAAGTCATCATCACTCACATCACTGCATGCCAGTTCAATTTGTGCACATCACACAGAAAGGTTAAACAAAGGCATTGTGGCGGTGTTGTGGAGTATAACTTACTGAGACATGATGGAAACAATTAGTGTGTGAGAAAACACAGGCACGAATCCCCCAGGGAGGCCAAGGAGAGTGAGTTCTGTAATATCGCAGGAATATGATGAAGATCAGGAGATGCTGAAGAAGGAATAACTCTTCATATGAGGCATCTGGGGCTCTGCAAGAGTAGTATTAAAATCAAATCAATTTGTATTTGTCACATGCTCCGTAAACTACATGTGTAGACTAACAGTGAAATGCTTACCTACGGGCCCTTCCCAACAATATAGAGAGAAAAATAGAAAAAGAATAGAAAGAAACCCACAACAAATAAATACACAATGCGTAATGATAACTTGGCTATATACACAGGGTACCAGTACCGAGTTGATGTGCAGGGGTATGAGGTAATTGAGGTAGATATGTACATATAGGTAGGGGAAAGTGACTAGGCAACAGGATAGATAAGAAACAGCAGCAGCATATGTGATGAGTCAGATGAATTAGTGCAAACAGGGTCAATGGAGATAGTCTGGGTAGCTATTTGGTTAACTACACTGAACCAAACTATAAACGCAACATGTGAAGTGTTGGTCCCATGCCTCATGAGCTGAAATAAAAGATCCCAGAAATCGTCCATACGCACAAAAAGCTTATTTGTGGCATATCAAGAAGCTGATTAAACAGCATGATCATTACAATAAAAGGCCACTCTAAAATGTGCAGTTTTGTCACACAACACAATGCCACACGTCTCCAGTTTTGAGGGAGCGTTCAATTGGCATGCTGACTGCAGGAATGTCCACCAGAGCTGTTGCCAGAGGATTTAATGTTAATTTGTCTACCATAAACCACCTTCAACGTCGTTTTAGAGAATTTGTCAGTACATCCAACCGGCCTCACAAACGCAAACCACATGTATGGTGTCGTGTGGGCGAGCGGTTTTCTGATATCAACGTTGTGAACAGAGTGCCCCATGATAGCGGTGGTGTTATGGTATAGGCAGGCATAAGCTACGGACAACGAACACAGTTGCATTTTAGAGATGGCAATTTGTATGCACAGAGATACCATGACGAGATCCTGAGGCCCATTGTTGTGCCATTCATCCGCCCCTATCACCTCATGTTTCAGCATGATAATGCACGGCCCCATGTCACAAGGATCTGTACACAATTCCTGGAAGCCGATAATGTCCCAGTTCTTCCATGGCCTGCATACTCACTAGACATGTCACCCATTGAGCATGTTTGGGATGCACTGGATTGACGCGTATGACAGCGTGTTCCAGTTCCCACCAATATCCAGCAACTTCGCACAGCCATTGCAGAGGAGAGGGACAACATTCCACAGGCCACAATCAACAGCCTGATCAACTCTATGTGAAGGAGATACTGACTGGTTTTCTGATCCACGAACCCTACCTTTTTTAAAAGGTATCTGTGACCAAGAGATGCATATCTCTATTCCCAGTCATGTGAAATCCATAGATTAGGGCCTAATTAATTTATTTCAATTGACTGATTTCCTTATATGAACTGTAACTCAGTAAAATCCTTTAAATTGTTGCATGTTGCGTTTATATTTTTGTTCAGTATATTTAGCAGTCTTATGGCTTCGGGGTAGAAGCTATTCAGGGTCCTATTGGTTCCAGACTTGGTGCATCGGTACCGTTTGCCGTGAAAACAGTCCAAGACTTGGGTGGCTGGAGTCTTTGACAATTTTTAGGGCCTTCCTCTGACACCGCCTGGTATAGAGGTCCTGGATGGCAGGGAGCTCGGCCCCAGTGACGAACTGGTCCGTACACTCTACCCTCTATAGCGCCTTGCAGTCGGATGTCAAGCGGTTGCCATACCAGGTGGTGGTGCAGCTAGTCAAGATGCTCTCAGTGGTGCAGCTGTATAACTTTTTGAGGATCTGAGGGCCAATGCCAAATCTTTTCAGGAAGAGGCGTTGTTTTGCCTTCTTCACGACTGTGTTGGTGTGTGTGGACCATGTTAGTTCCTTAGTGATGTGGACACAGAGGAACTAGAAGCTGGTATTATGTTGCTAAGTAAAAAATTATATCAAAACTACTCTATAACAAAACGATGTTAAGATCCAGAGGAGAGGATAATACTTCACTTAAGAATGTACAGTAGTGTTTATGCTTGATGTTGTTTAGGTTAGAAGACAACATGCCACAGATAATGATATGAGTGTTTGACAAATGGGGCCTTAACAGTTATTACACCATTTAATATTTCCCATGGTACAGCATACAGTATGTCCTCTAGTGTTGCTATGCATCATAAATATGTCTGAATGGCAGCACTGAGTGGGGGAGTCCGTAGCCTACTCCACATTCCTTCCAAGGGCAGTGTGGTGAATCCAGGGGATTTGGGAAGCGTGGAATTTAAGGGGAGGTCCTGACAGGATTACCGAATCATGGGATTGTTGTCTAAAGGAGGCCTGGGTAGACAGCAGGCCCCTCGGGTCATGGTAGCGGCTGAGGGGGGTGGAGGGGGAGATGGGGTGAGGAGGGGGGAGATGGGGGTGAGGAGGGGGAGATTGGGGTGAGGAGGTGGGAGATGGTGGTGAGGAGGGGGAGATAGGGGTGAAGGGGGAGGGGGTGATGAGGGGGGAGGGGGTGATGAGGGGGGAGATGGGGGTGAGGAGGGGGGAGATGGGGGGAGATGGGGGTGAGGAGAGTGGTAAAGTGTGAGGATGAGGAAAGGTGAGGGGGTGGGATATAGGGAACGCCTGACTCAAACGGAGCACCTTAGATTTCTATGTGACCTTGCAGGATATAAGGAGAACATAAAGATGACATATTAACAATACAAATATAGATATTATCTCCTGACCTGCAAGATTTTCTATACTAATATGAACTGGACAGTTTAATGTCATACACATTCAGACACAGATAGCAAGGCCCCAGCAGATCTTTGTGTGATCGTATAGAATTACAAGGCTTCTAGGAATGATGTCAGGCTCTGTACATTAATGCACCAACATGAGCCACTGTCTCCTGCCACAGCTGTTCTAAACCCTCCTCCAATTAATATTGAAATGATCTCCATCCCTCTGGAAAGCAAGGGAATAAGCCTCTCTGTTACTGTGTATTATCAGCTTGGATAACCAGATAGAAGGCAGACAGTAATGTACCAATATAAACAACAGAAATAACACAATAGCAAGTCATACGCCACTACTTAACAATGTTTATCTAGTTAGTCTATCTGTATGTCTCCCTTCTCTTCCTCTTGGCTAGTGGGGCACAAGCATAGCTCCTTAGACAGAGAAGGGGATGTTGGGACATAAAGAGAGCACTGTGAAAGCAGACACACAGAAGATCCTGTGTGGTAGTCTGGAGGCTGGGGACAGAGCATCGATAAGGCTGTGTGTGTGTGTGTTGGCCTTGGCTGTGAAGACAGGGTGCTGAAAGGAGGGTGTGAGAGCAAGGAGAGCTCAGTGGATAGGGATCTTATGATAGCTGCCCTGCTTTCCACAGGATCCCACTTCACTGGGCTTGGTGTTTTCATCGCTTTGGGATTTTATTGAGGAGGATTGCAAGAGTTTATCCAAATGTAGACATTACTAAACAACATCAAGAACGTGTACCTTTACACAGCTTCATGTTTCCAAAACAAAAGACATCCTAAATCCTGTCATATTTGATGTATGTAGAGAGACATATGGTCCCACTAGAACCAGACAAGCCCTAACATTTAGTGTGTGTTTTGGGGGTTCAGGGATTGAGGCTTCATGTTGAGGTACTCCAGCATGAACACCTGCAGGATCTTTTTGAGGTTCTCGATGGTGGAGCGGTCCAGGTTCTGCTCGTTGTCATCAAACGTGTGCCACATTGAGGGGAAGGGGGTGGGGATGAGATGGAGGATGCGCACACCTGAGATGAAATCAGAATAATAATATTAATTAATTAATAAAGAATACAAAGGTCATTAGTACCCTACAGAACACAGCCAAGCCTGTGTCAGAACCAGTGTGCTGTGTGTTTACCTCTGTTTAGGAATGGCATGTGGTCATCCTGCACCGGACCCACAGGCATACCGTGCCAGAAGTAATGTAATGTCATTTGGATGGTCCTTCAGCTGGCCCATGTGATGCAAACGACACTCTGAAAAGAGAGGGAACATTCAACACAGGGCTTAGCTAATTACAGAGTAAGAGAGAGAGAGAGAGAGAGAGAGAGAGAGGGAGAGGGAGAAAGAGAGACAGACAGACAGACAGACAGACAGACAGACAGACAGACAGACAGACAGACAGACAGATAGACATACAGATATTGGCTGATAGAACGACAGACAGATAGAGATTGATAGAATGACAGACAAACAGACAGACAGACAGACAGACAGATAGACATACAGACATTGGCTGATAGAATGACAGAGATCAGAGAGTGTGAGCTCTCACCAATGTTCTGCATTCTGGTGAGCCACCAGGCAGTGTTGGGGAACTGGTTGCCAAAGCGAGGGCTAGGGCCTCCAATCAGGTCTAAGAGCACAAACAGGTCTTGGAGGAGAGGGAGAAAGAAGGGAAGAAGAAGAAGAGGAGAGGAATAAATAGGATCCCCTCAGGTCAGTGTGTGAGAGGGTCCACCAGCCAGGTCCCATGGGAAAGTAACTCTCCACAGCCTGGAGATAACTCCCTAAAAGCCCACTCCCTGGAAGCTTTGAGGTTAAGGATGACATCATGCGTTCCTCCATGTGTTACATTAGTGCCATGCCCAATGCATGGCCCCTCTCTAAAACACACACTTACCTCACTGCAGGACTATGAGCCTCTCTGAGATAGTCTCCTTTATCTCTCTTCCCTGACAGGAATGGTGCTCTATTTGTTTAAACAACAGTAGTACTATATCTCCATAGCTAGGATACAGCTAGAATACAGAATAACACATCTTAGATTTATTTGACATAATGTTATTGTAGATGACATGACGAATGTCCAAATATATTCCACTACTCACGCCTCCTTAACGGTTGCTTGTTAAGGCTAAAATATATGTTTATAAATCAAACATATGAGACTTAAGATAGATTTTAAGATAGCCCATCCCTGCTGCACTGCAACAAGGTGAATCTTAGGTCCCGATAAGCGCTGAATTTGCTGAATTTGTGTTTGAGTGTTTAAATACAGTGCATTCGGAAAGTATTCAGACCCCTTGACTTTTTCCACATTTTGTTATGTTACAGCCTTATTCTAAAATGAATTAAATTGTTTTTTCCCCCCATCAATCTACACACAATACCCCATAATGACAAAGCAAAAACAGGTTTTTAGAAATGTTTGCACATTTATTAAAAATAAAAAACTGAAATATAACATTTACATAAGTATTCAGACCCTTTGCTATGACACATGAAATTGAGCTCAGGTGCATCCTGTTTCCATTGATCATCCTTGAGATGTTTCTACAACTTGATTGGAGTCCACCTGTAGTAAATTCAATTAATTGGGCATGATTTGGAAAGGCACACACCTGTCTATATAAGGTCCTACAGTTGACAGTGCATGTCCGAGCAAAAACCAAGCCATGAGGTCGAAGGAATTGTCCATAGAGCTCAGAGACAGGATTGTGTCGAGGCACAGATCTGGGGAAGGGTACCAAAAAATGTCTGCAGCATTGAAGGTCCCCAAGAACACAGTGGCCTCCATCATTCTTAAATGGAAGAAGTTTACAACCACCAAGACGCTTCCTAGAAATGGCCTCCCGGCCAAACTGAGCAATCGGGGGAGAAGGGCCTTTGTCAGGGAGGTGACCAAGAACCCGATGGTCACTCTGATAGAGCTCCAGAGTTCCTATGTCGAGATGGGAGAACCTTCCAGAAGGACAACCATCTCTGCAGCACTCCACCAATCAGTCCTTTATGGTAGAGTGGCCAGACGGAAGCCACTCCTCAGTAAAAGGCACATATCAGCCCGCTTGGAGTTTGACAAAAGGCACCTAAAGGACTCTCAGACCATGAGAAGCAAGATTCTCTGGTCTGATGAAAACAAGATTGAACTCTTTGGCCTGAATGCCAAGCGTCACGTCTGGAGGAAACATGGCACCATCCCTACGGGGAAGCATGGCGGTGGCAACATCATGCTGAGGGGATGTTTTTCAGCGGCAGGGACTGGGAGGCTAGTCAGGATCGAGGGAAAGATGAATGGAGCAATGTACTGAGCGATCCTTGATGAAAACCTGCTCCAGAGCGCTCAGGACCTCAGACTGGGGCGAAGGTCCACCTTCCAACAGGACAACGACTCTAAGCACACAGCCAAGACAACACAGGAGATGCTTTGGGACAAGTCTCTGAATGTCCTTGAGTGGCCCAGTCAGAGCCTGGACTTGAACCCGATCGAACATCCCTGGAGAGACCTGAAAATAGCTGTGCAGCGAAGCTCCCCATCCAAACTGACAGAGCTTGAGAGGATCTGCAGAGAAGAATTGGAGAAACTCCCCAAATACAGCTGTGCCAAGCTTGTAGCGTCATACCCCAAAAGACTCAAGGCTGTAATCGCTGCCAAAGGTTCTTCTGTCACGTTGTATAAGGATTTGAAGACAGGGGCAGGAATACGTAAAGGGGTTTTATTTTCTCCACCCAAGACAAGGTACGACGGGGACGAAGCCCAAAACAAACACGTATATATATATATATATATATATATATATATATATATATATATATATATATATATATATATATAACTCAGGGATGTAACCCAAACAAAAGAGCGAGGTGTAAACCTCTAAACAATACATGGGACGAGACCGGTAATAACAAGAGCACAATACACGGTACTCACAAGACCAACGGACATGGGACAATAATCGACCAGGACAATGGGGAACAGAGAGCACATATTAATCAGGGGGAATGGTAACCAGGAGTGCGTAATGAGACAAGACAGTCCGGGGTTGGTGGTAATGAACCAGATCAGTGATGCCTATAAGGCCAGTGACATAAACCTCCGGAGCTGGTGAACGGAATGAGCAGCAGTACCGGGGGGATCCGTGACAATACCCCCCCCCCCCCCCCCCCCGACGCGCTGCACTAGCAGTGGGATGACACCGGCCTCCGGGACGACCACAGGAACGCGGTGTGGATCGGTCAGGGTGCCGACGGTGAAAATTCCTGGTCATCGAAGCATCCAGGATGTCCACCGCAGGAACCCAGTAACGCTCCTCTGGGTCGTACCCTTCCCAGTCGATGAGGTACTGGAGACGCCCCGCCCGACGCCTCGAATCCAGGACTTCACGGACCGAGTACGCCAGACCTCCCTAGATGTCCAGAGGAGGAGGCGGGGCGTCACTGGGACCAGCCTCAGCGAGGGGACCAGGCACCACTGGCCTGAGGAGAGACACATGAAAAGTCGGGTTCATGCGGTAATCAGCAGGGAGTTGCAAACGGTACGTTACCTAATTAACCCTCCTCAGGACTTTAAACCGCAGGCTCAGCTTCCGGCAGGGCAAGCGGAGGGGCAGGTTCCGGGTGGAGAGTCAGACCCGGTTGCCTGAAGAGAAAACAGGCGCCTCACTGTGGTGGCGGTTGGCCAGTTCCTTGTGCCAACGCACGGCCCGCTGGAGACAAGTGTGCGCAGCGTTCCAGATCTCCTCAGCGTGCCGAAACCACTCGTCCACCGCAGGGGCCTTGGTCTGGCTCGGATGCCAAGGTGCCAGGGCCGGCTGATACCCCAACATAGACTGGAGGAGTGGCGGAGTGAATTCTCCGCGTACTCAGCCCAAGGTGGAAAATCCGCCCACACCCCCAGGCGGTCCTGACAGTAACACCTCAGGAACCTGCCCACTTCCTGATTGACCCTCTCCACCTGCCCATTATCTTGAGGACGGTACCCGGAGGTGAGACTGACCGTGACCCCCAGACGTTCCATGAACGCTTTCCATGCGCGTGATGTGAACTGAGGACCACAGTCTGACACAATGTCCTCCGGGATCCCGTAGTGCCGGAAGACGTGTGTAAAAAGAGCCTCCGCGGTTTGCATGGCCGACGGGTACCCAGGCAGAGGAAGGAGGAGACAAGCTTTGGAAAACCGGTCCACAACGACGAGAACGGTGGTGTTCCCCTGGGAGGGGGGAAGGTCAGTGACAAAGTCCACCGAGAGGTGAGACCAGGGTCATTGTGGAACCGGCAGGGGAAGGAGCTTTCCATAATGGAGATGTCTGGGTGTCTTAGACTGGGCACAGATGGAGCAGGAATAGATGTAAATCCGGACGTCCCTAGCCAAGGTGGGCCACTAGTACTTCTCAGTCAGGCAGGCGATGGTACGGCGTATCCCAGGATGACCCGACACAGGCGCCGTGTGCGCCCAGGAAAGGAGGCGGTCCCGCACACCCGTGGGCACGTAGGCGCGGTTCTCCGGGCACTGTGCAGGTGCGGGTTCCGTACGCAGGGCCTGCTGTATGTCGGCGTACACGTCCCACACCACTGGCGCGATGATACGGAACGGAGGGAGGATGGGGGTCTCCTCTTTCTGCTTCTCCTCTGCCTGGGTTGGAGCAGGGGATACCCTGGCTTGTCACCTCCTCGCCTATTAGTGGATAGAGGGCAGGTCAGGGAGAAATGACCCCTTTCTCCACCATAGGAGCAGAGGCCCAGATTCCTCCTTCTCCGATGCTCTGCCTCGGGCAAATGTGCAGAGCCCACCTCCATCGGCTCTGGCCACGGTGCAGTTGTAGCCATGGGCTCCGGATTCCGTGCAGATCTTCGTCGGGACCGCAGGAGGTTGTCCAACTGGATCGCCATGCTGATGAGCTGGTCGAGTGACAGGTTGTCATCACGGCAGGCTAACTCCATCTGTACCTCTCCTGCAGCCCTTTTGGAGGCGACTCCGGGATGCTGACCTTCTAGGCAGAGTTGCAACGAAAAAGCCATATCTCAGACTGGCCAATAAAAATAAAAGATTAAGATGGGCAGTCTGAGATATGGCTTTTTCTTTGCAACTCTGCCTAGAAGGTCAGCATCCCGGAGTCGCCTCTTCACTGTTGACGTTGAGACTGGTGTTTTGCGGGTACTATTTAATGAAGCTGCCAGTTGAGGACCTGTGAGGCGCCTGTTTCTCAAACTAGACACTCTAATGTATATGTCCTCTTGCTCAGTTGTGCACCAGGGCCTCCCACTCTTCTTTCTATTCTGGGTAGATCCATTTTCCGCTGTTCTGTGAAGGGAGTAGTACACAGCGTTGTACGAGATCTTCAGTTTCTTGGAAATTTCTTGCATGGAATAGCCTTCATTTCTCAGAACAAGAATAGACTGACGAGTTTCAGAAGAAAGTTATTTGTTTCTGGCCATTTTGAGGCTGTAATCGAACCCACAATTGCTGATGCTCCAGATACTCAACTAGTCTCAAGAAGGCCAGTTTTATTGCTTCTTTAATCAGCACAACAGTTTTCAGCTTTGCTAACGTAATTGCAAAAGGGTTTTTTAATGATCAATTAGCCTTTTAAAATGATAAACTTGGATTAGCAAACACAACGTGCCTTTGGAACACAGTACTGATGGTTGCTGATAATTGGCCTCTGTACGCCTATGTAGATATTCCATTAAAAATCAGCCATTTCCAGCTACAATAGCCATTTACAACATTAACAATGTCTACACTGTATTTCTGATCAATTTGATGTTATTTTAATGGACAAAAAAAGTGTTTTTCTTGAACGGTAGTGTATATACACATACTAATCAAGGGGAATGGGAACCAGGTGTGAGACAAGACAGTCCAGGGTTGGTGGTAATGAACCAGATCAGTGACGCCTAGTAGGCCGGTGACGTACAGTGCCTTGCAAAAGTATTCATCCCCCTTAAGTTTTTCCTATTTTGTTGCATTACAACCTGTAATTTAAATAGATTTTTATTTGGATTTCATGTAATGGACAGACACAAAATAGTCAAAATGTCACGACTTCCGCCGAGGCTGCCTCCCCTCCTTGTTCGTGCAGGTTTCGGCGTTCGGCGTCACCGGCTTACTAGTTACTGTCGATCCATTTATCATCACTCCATTTGTCTTGTCTTCAATCACACACACCTGGTCCTTATTCGCTCATTAGTCATGGTATAAGTGTTCCCTCTGCTTCCTTGTCTGTGTGGGTGATTGTTTATTGTGGAGGTTTGTGAAGCTCGGTGGAGCTCGTGTATTCTGTATTGACGGTAGTATTTTCCCGTGTGCCTTGTAATTTCCAGTGCGCCTGTTTTGTGCCCTGGAGTGTGTTTGACGCATTTCTGCGTAAACCTGTATTTTGCGGATTAAAGTCTGTTATTCTGTGATTTACCCTCCTGCGACTTCTTCAACACCACCTCATCACAGAATCACCCACCTGAATATGGAGTCAGCGGGAGAGACGCACATGCCTGGAGTCGTGGAACGGTTCAAGGAGCATTCAACTATGCTAGCCAGCTTGGGTGAAGCGATGGGTAGGCTTCTTCAGGTCGTCCAACGCCTGGAGAGGAGAGAGCCCGATCCGTCGAGACCCGCTGGTCAGCCGGATCCCGCCACCTACACCCCAGCACCCGGAGGGAGCCAGATATCCCGACCAGGGGTGTTCGACGGGTCAGCGGCGCTGTGCCAAGGATTTCTTCTCCAACTGGAGCTCTACTTCTCCAGCATCCGGCCGGTTCCATCGGAGCGGGAGAAGGTGTCCACCCTCGTCTCCTGCCTCTCTGGGAAAGCCCTGGAGTGGGCCAACGAGGTGTGGAACGAAGGAGGAGCCGCATTGGAGAACTACGGGGAGTTCGCTCGCCTCTTCCGGGCGATCTTCGATCACCCGCCCGATGGTCGAGTGAGCGGCTGGTCCACCTGAGGCAGGGGACGAGGATTGCGCAGGACTTTGCATTGGAGTTTCGAACTCTGGCAACTGGGTCCGGGTGGAACGAGCGGGCCCTGATTGACCAGTTCCGGTGCCATCTGCGAGAGGACGTCCGACGGGAGCTAGCCTGCCGTGACACCATGTTGTCCTTCTCGCAACTGGTGAACATGGCCATTCGTTTGGACAACCTGCTGGCAACCAGAGGACGTCCTGGAGAAGGTTTGCCCGTTTCCATCCCGGCCAACTCGGATCCAGAACCGATGGAGATGGGTGGAACCGCTAGCCGAGAGAGCGGAGGACGACAACGCCAGTGCCACACTGGTGGCGCAAAGCGACATTTCACCACACGTTGTTGTCAACGCTCTTCAAGCTCCGCCCCCGTGTGTTCTTTTCAAAGAAGCTCAGCCCGGCGGAGCAGAACTACAGCGTTTGTGATCGGGAGCTGTTAGCTGTTGTCCGAGCCTTGACCATGTGGAGGCATTGGCTCGAGGGGGCAAAACACCCTTTCCTCGTCTGGACGGACCACCGTAACCTGGAGTACATCCGGGCAGCGAGGAGGCTGAATCCTCGCCAGGCCAGGTGGGCCCTATTCTTCACCCGGTTTGATTTCACTCTATCATACATCCCGGGTACGAAGAACGTGAAGGCAGACGCGCTGTCCCGGCTGTATGACACAGAGGAAAGGCCCAGAGACAACACTCCCATACTGCCGGCCTCCTGCATTGTGGCGCCGGTAGTATGGGCAATGGACGCGGATATAAAGCAGGCATTACGCACGGATCCCTCTCCACCTCAGTGTCCAGATGGGCTACAGTACGTGCCTGCTCTTATCCGTGATCGTCTGATCTACTGGGCACACACGTCACCCTCCTCTGGTCACCCAGGTATCGGCCGTACAGTGCGCTGCCTGACCGGAAAATACTGGTGGCCTACCTTGGCTAAGGACGTGAGGGTGTATGTCTCCTCCTGCTCAGTGTGCGCCCAGAGTAAGGCACCTACGCACCTCCCAGCTGGTAAGTTACAACCTTTACCAGTTCCACAACGACCATGGTCTCACCTAAGTGTTAATTTTCTAACTGATCTTCCCCTCTCCCAAGGTAAAACCACCATCCTGGTCATTGTGGACCGCTTTTCTAAAGCCTGCCGCCTCATTCCTCTGCCCGGTCTCCCCACGGCTCTCCAAACTGCGGAGGCCCTGTTTACACACGTCTTCCGTCACTACGGGGTACCAGAGGATATAGTGTCTGACCGAGGTCCCCATTTCACGTCAAAGGTCTGGAAGGCGTTCATGGAACGTCTGGGGGTCTCGGTCAGCCTGACCTCTGGGTTCCACCCCAAGAGTAATGGGCAGGTGGAATGGGTAAATCAGGACGTGGGTAGGTTCCTGCGGTCCTACTGCTAGGAGGGGCCGTGGGAGTGGTTGGTGTTCTTGCCATGGGCAGAATATGCCCAGAACTCTCTCTGCCACTCCTCCACTAACCTAACGCCTTTCCAGTGTATTCTAGGTTACCAACCGGTTCTGGCACTGTGGCACCAGAGCCAGACCGAGGCTCCTGCGGTGGATGACTGGTTTCGGCGCGCGGAGGAGACGTGGGATGCTGCCCATGTTCACCTCCAACACGCCGTGCGTCGTCAGAAGGCCATCGCTAACCGCCACCGCAGTGAGGCCCCCGTCTTTTTACCGGGGGATTGGGTCTGGCTCTCGACCCGGAATCTGCTCCTCTGCCTGCCCTGCCGGAAGCTGAGCCTGCGGTTTGTGGGGCCGTTCAAAGTCCTGAGGAGAGTCAACGAGGTCACTTATAGGTTATTACTTCCCCCTGATTACCGTATTAACCCCTCGTTTCATGTGTCTCTCCTCAGGCCGGTGGTAGCTGGTCCGCTCCAGGACGCTGAGGTGCGGGAGGTCCCTCCACCTCCTCTGGACATCGAGGGGGCCCCGGCGTACTCTGTCCGTTCCATCCTGGATTCGAGGAGTCGGGTGGGGGGCCTTCAGTACCTCGTGGAGTGGGAGGGGTACGGTCGGAGGAACGGTGCTGGGTTGCGGTGAGGGATATCCTCGATCCCTCCATGTTACGGGATTTCCACCGTCACCATCCGGCTCGCCCTGCTCCGCGTCCTCTTGGCCATCCCCGAGGCCAGGATTGGCGCGCTGCTGGTACGGCGCGTCAATGGGGGGGTACTGTCATGACTTTCTCAGAGGCTGCCTCCCCTCCTTGTTCGGGCAGGTTTCGGCGTTCGGCGTTACCGGCTTACTAGCTACTGCAGATCCATTTATCATCACTCCATTTGTCTTGTCTTCAATCACACACACCTGGTCCTTATTCGCTCATTAGTCTTGGTATAATTGTTCCCTCTGCTTCCTTGTCTGTGTGGGTGATTGTTTATTGTGGAGGTTTGTGAAGCTCGGTGGAGCTCGTGTATTGTGTATCGACGGGAGTATTTTCCTGTGTGCCTTGTATTTTCCAGTGCGCCTGTTTTGTGCTCTGGAGTGTGTTTGACGCATTTCTGCGTAAACCTGTATTTTGTGGATTAAAGCCTGTTATTCTGTGATTTACCCTCCTGCGCCTGACTTCTTCAATACCACCTCAAGTGAAATGAAAAAAAATAACTTGTTTCAAAAAATTCTAAAAAATAAATAAGGAAAAGTGGTGCGTGCATATGTATTCACCCCCTTTGCTATGAAGCCCCTAAATAAGATCTGGTGCAACTAATTACCTTCAGAAGTCACATAATTAGTTAAATAAAGTCCACCTGTGTGCAATCTAAGTGTCACATGATCTGTCACATGATCTCAGTATATACAGTGGGGGAAAAAAGTATTTAGTCAGCCACCAATTGTGCAAGTTCTCCCACTTAAAAAGATGAGAGAGGCCTGTAATTTTCATCATAGGTACACGTCAACTATGACAGACAAAATGAGAAGAAAAAAATCCAGAAAATCACATTGTAGGATTTTTAATGAATTTATTTGCAAATTATAGTGGAAAATAAGTATTTGGTCAATAACAAAAGTTTCTCAATACTTTGTTATATACCCTTTGTTGGCAATGACACAGGTCAAATGTTTTCTGTAAGTCTTCACAAGGTTTTCACACACTGTTGCTGGTATTTTGGGCCCATTCCTCCATGCAGATCTCCTCTAGAGCAGTGATGTTTTGGGGCTGTCGCTGGGCAACACAGACTTTCAACTCCCTCCAAAGATTTTCTATGGGGTTGAGATCTGGAGACTGGCTAGGCCACTCCAGGACCTTGAAATGCTACTTACGAAGCCACTCCTTCGTTGCCCGGGCGGTGTGTTTGGGATCATTGTCATGCTGAAAGACCCAGCCATGTTTCATCTTCAATGCCCTTGCTGATGGAAGGAGGTTTTCACTCAAAATCTCACGATACATGGCCCCATTCATTCTTTCCTTTACACGGATCAGTCGTCCTGGTCCCTTTGCAGAAAAACAGCCCCAAAGCATGATATTTCCACCCCCATGCTTCACAGTAGGTATGGTGTTCTTTGGATGCAACTCAGCATTCTTTGTCCTCCAAACACGACGAGTTGAGTTTTTACCAAAAAGTTATATTTTGGTTTCATCTGACCATATGACATTCTCCCAATCCTCTTCTGGATCATCCAAATGCACTCTAGCAAACTTCAGACGGGCCTGGACATGTACTGGCTTAAGCAGGGGGACACGTCTGGCACTGCAGGTTTTTTTGTCCCTGGCGCCGTAGTGTGTTACTGATGGTAGGCTTTATTGCTTTGGTCCCAGCTCTCTGCAGGTCATTCACTAGGTCCCCCCGTGTGGTTCTGGGATGTTTGCTCACCGTTCTTGTGATCATTTTGACTCCACGTGGTGAGATCTTGCGTGGAGCCCCAGATCAAGGGAGATTATCAGTGGTCTTGTATGTCTTCCATTTCCTAATAATTGCTCCCACAGTTGATTTCTTCAAACCAAGCTGCTTACCTATTGCAGATTCAGTCTTCCCAGCCTGGTGCAGGTCTACAATTTTGTTTCTGGTGTCCTTTGACAGCTCTTTGGTCTTGGCCATAGTGGAGTTTGGAGTGTGACTGTTTGAGGTTGTGGACAGGTGTCTTTTATACTGATAACAAGTTCAAACAGGTGCCATTAATACAGGTAACGAGTGGAGGACAGAGGAGCCTCTTAAAGAAGAAGTTACAGGTCTGTGAGAGCCAGAAATCTTGCTTGTTTGTAGGTGACCAAATACTTATTTTCCACCATAATTTGCAAATAAATTCATAAAAAATCCTACAATGTGATTTTCAGGATTTTTTTTCCTCAATTTGTCTGTCATAGTTGACGTGTACCTATGATGAAAATTACAGGCCTCTCTCATCTTTTTAAGTGGGAGAACTTGCACAATTGGTGGCTGACTAAATAATTTTTTCCCCCACTGTATACACCTGTTCTGAAAGACCCCAGAGTCTGCAATACCACTAAGCAAGGGGCACCACCAAGCAAGCGGCACCATGAAGACCAAGGAGCTCTCCAACCAGGTCAGGGACAAAGTTGTGGAGAGGTAAAGATCAGGGTTGGGTTCTAAAAAAATATCAGAAACTTTGAACATCCCACAGAGCACCATTAAATCCATTATAAAAAAAATGGAAAGAATATGGCACCACAACAAACCTGCCAAGAGAGGGCCGCCCACCAAAACTCTCGGACCAGGCAAGGAGGGCATTAATCAGAGAGGCAACAAAGAGACCAAAGATAACCCTGAAGGAGCTGCAAAGCTCCACAGCGGAGATTGGAGTATCTGTCCATAGGACCACTTTAAGCCGTACACTCCATAGAGCTGGGCTTTACGAAAGAGTGGCCAGAAAAAAGCCATTGCTTAAAGAAGAAAATAAGCAAACACGTTTGGTGTTCGCCAAAAGGCATGTGGGAGACTCCCCAAACATATGGAAGAAGGTACTCTGGTCAGATGAGACTAAAATTGAGCTTTTTGGCCATCAAGGAAAACGCTATGTCTGGCGCAAACCCAACACCTCTTATCACCCCGAGAACACCATCCCCAGAGTGAAGCATGGTGGTGGCAGCATCATACTGTGGCGATGTTTTTCATTGGCAGGGACTGGGAAACTGGTCAGAATTGAAGGAATGATGGATGGCGCTAAATACAAGGAAATTCTTGAGGGAAACCTGTTTCAGTCTTCCAGAGATTTGAGACTGGGACGGCGGTTCACCTTCCAGCAGGACAATGACCCTAAGCATACTGCTAAAGCAACAGTCGAGTGGTTTAAGGGGAAACATTTAAATGTCTTGGAATGGCCTAGTCAAAGCCCAGACCTCAATCCAATTGAGAATCTGTGATATGACTTAAAGATTGCTGTACACCAGCGGAACCCATCCAGCTTGAAGGAGCTGGAGCAGTTTTGCCTTTTGCCAGTGGCTAGATGTGCCAAGCTTATAGAGACATACCCCAAGAGACTTGCAGCTGTAATTGCTGCAAAAGGTGGCTCTACAAAGTATTGACTTTGGGGGGGTGAATAGTTATGCACGCTCAAGCTTTCTGTTTTTTTGTCTTATTTCTTGTTTGTCTCACAATAAAAAATATTTTGCATCTTCAAAGTGGTAGGCATGTTGTGTAAATCAAATGATACAAACCCCCCAAAAATCAATTTTAATTCCAGGTTGTAAGGCAACAAAATAGGAAAAATGCCAAGGGGAGTGAATACTTTCGCAAGCCACTGTAGACCTCCGGAGCTGGTGAACGGAATGAGCAGCAGTACCGGGGGGATCCGTGATATCTACAACAAAGTACTGAGTAAACGGTCTGAATACTTATGTAAATGTGATATTTCCGTTTTTTATTTTAAATACATTTGCTAAAAATTCTAAAAACCTGTTTTTGCTTTGTCATTATGGGGTATTGTGTGTAGATTGATGAGGGAAAAAAACAATTTAATCAATTTTAGAATAAGGCTGTAACGTAACAAAATGTGGAAAAAGTCTGAATACTTTCCGAATGCACTGTATGTGCCTGTAATGCCTGACATACAATGCCATGCATTTCATTGGTGTCTGTGGCTCCAGGTGGGTGTGCTGCGTTCTCCATCTTCTTGGCCAGGTGGCGGGAGCCATACAGGGAATCTGTAGAGGTCCACTGGAACAGAGCCTCCTCACCATCAAAGAACAACAGCTGGAGAGAAAGGTTGGGATTGGATCCCTGAGAGAGAATGAGAGAGAGAGAGTGAGACAGAGAGAAAGACAAAAGGGGGGGGGGGGGGCAGAAAGTGAAAGAGATGTTTATTGGTCACTGCACACAGTACTTTGGGAACTACTTTGCTGCCACCTATTGGTTTAAACAAAACACTGCTATGAAGAAATCATTATTCATGGTGGCCTTTGTCACTGTCTGCACAGTCAGATAAACATGTCCCCTGGCCCAGCCCTATGGCAGCCCCTGTCACTCAGGACCCACCCCCTCAGACTGAGGTCAGCTGACCCATGGAGAAGGGCAGCAGAGACAGCAATGTGAGGAGGCTCTCTGACTGCTAAGTGAATTCCATCAGAGGGTAGTGCGTACGGCCCAGTACATCACTGGGGCCAAGCTTCCTGCCATCCAGGACCTCTATACCAGGCGGTGTCAGAGGAAGGCCCTCAAAATTGTCAAAGACTCCAGCCACCCTAGTCATAGACTGTTCTCTCTGCTACCGCATGGCAAGCGGTACCGGAGCGCCAAGTCTAGGTCCAAAAGGCTTCTCAACAGCTTCTACCCCCAAGCCATAAGACTCCTGAACAGCTAATCACGGCTACCCGGACTACTTGCACTGCCCCCCCACCCTATATTTTTACGCTGCTGCTACTCTGTTAATTATTTACGCATAGTCACTTTAACTCTACCCACATGTACATATTACCTCAACTACCTCAACTAGCCGGTGCCCCCGCACATTGACTCTGCACCAGTACCCCCCCTGTATATAGCCTCCCTACTGTCATTTTATTTTACTTCTGCTCTTTTTTTCTCAACACTTTTTAATAATAATAATAATAATATGCCATTTAGCAGACGCTTTTATCCAAAACGAGTTTCAGTCATGTGCACATACATTTTTACGTATGGGTGGTCCCGGGGATCGAACCCACTACCCTGGCGTTACAAGCGCCATGCTCTACCAATTGCGCTACAGAGTTGTTGTTGTTTTATTTTACTTTTTTATTAAAAAATAAATGCATTGTTGGTTAAGGGCTGTAAGTAAGCATTTCACGGTAATGTCTACATCTGTTGTATTCGGCGCATGTGGCAAATACAATTTGATTTGATTTGATTTGATCTCTTTTCATTTCTCAACATCCTGCAATTCTTTGTTGATCTTGGCTACAGCTGTGTAAAAACTTTGAGTGGGTTCTCCTAACTTTTCTGATTTAATATTGCTCAGCAAACTATTCTGCATTCTATAAATGATTCTACAGACTAAAGTGGACACATAAGAACATTCTCAACCTTTCCCCATCTTTAGAGTCTTCAACTCGTGGTCCAGAGCCTGTACCAGCTCCAGCATCATGGCACAGGGCACCGCTGAGTCCGTGGCACCCAGGAACTCACGCCCATGCCACTGGGGAGGGTAGTACTTGGAGTCATAGTGGCACGCCAGCACCAGACGGCGCTTGGCGGAGGGGTTGAGAGTTGCGATGATGTTGTTGAAGGTCATGGGACCGTAAGGGGTGTGTGACTCAAACGTGTCCTCCTTAACATCCCAGCCTGCCCTAGGGGACCCAGGGTGCTCTAGATGTGCTAGTGGGAGACACATGTTTCACAATTAAATAGACAAAGCATTGGGAAACACATTGGGAAACACTTATCGGACGTCATCCTGGAAATTGACTGAGAAGAACTGACTAAAACCCCTCTCCTACATCGATTGACTAGCCTAATCATCTCTATGACGTTATAAGTAGACCACACACAGTCGATTGTTCATGCCCTCAGCCATGGGGATACCGACCTGTTGCACTGCCAGGCTACCTGCAGAGATGGGGTACCGTGACACTAGCAGAGGCCTGAGGTCCCTCTGCCACATCTGGTTCAAGTCTGTGTGTGACAAGACCCTGGTGATGTCACTTGAGCTGAGGGTGCTGGGCTTGTGGCCAATCTGGACAGAAAAGACGAGAGGAGACGAGAGGGACAAGATAAGACAAGAGAATCAGAATCAGGGCAGCTTCTCTGATATCCATGAGGATCAGCCTGTGGGTTGAAAAAAGGCATCACAGATGCAATACATGTCCTCATTAATCACAGTTAGTTCAACCAAGGAGGTAGATTAGTTTAACATTTTAACATTTTAGTAGATGCTCTTATCCATAGCTACTTACAGGAGCAATTAGGTTAAGTGCCTTGCTTAAGGGCACATCGACAGATGTTTTGGCTCTAAGATTCAAACCAGCAACCTTTTGGTTACTGGTCCAACGCTCTTAACCGCTACGCTAGGCTTCAACCTCTCACAAAGCTATGAGCAAAGACATCCATGCAGGGAAACTAATACCATTGCTAATCACTACCATCTTGTTCCAATATCTACAGCAGGGTTCTTCAATTCCGGTCCTGGAGGGCCGAAACACTTCTGTTTTTCATTTCTACCTGGTAGTTAATTGCACTCACCTGGTGTCCCAGGTCTGAATTAGCCCCTGATTAGAAGGAGAGGATGAAAAATAGAGGTGTTTCGGCCCTCCAGGACCGGAATTGAAGAACCCTGATCTACAGTGTGTAGAAGGAAATATACAGTTTAGAAACTTTGAAAGAACATTGTGCTACAGTTGCAACGTGCAGACCTACAAAGTAGAAAACTCCTCTAGTGATACATTAACATTTTACTAGGCAAGTCAGTTAAGAACAAATTCTTATTTACAATGACAGACTACACCGGCCAACGCTGGGCCAATTGTGCAATTGGCCATTATGATTTGCTACAGTGTGTTACTTTGATGTCTCTTGTTTACAACACCTTGCTATATGATCATCTGTATATTGTCTCTGGCTAATGTGCACCATCAAGACAAGCTACACATTATCTGACAGGGTTACCCAATCGTCAAATCAAAGATTACAGTTGGTCCTTTGTGGCTCAGTTGATAGAGCATGGCGCTTGCAACACAAGGGTTATGAGTTTGATTCCTACGGGGGACCAGTATGAAAAAGAGAATGTATACACTCACTACTGTTAATGATTACAATGTAAATATAGGAGATTATAAAGGAGAAAGCAAATAGGTCCTGAATCTGTCTATAACAAACTAAGCTTGAATATCATTCTGGAAAGACACACACGGACATCAAATAAGGTATTGATCGTATTCCACCGACCCAGATCGTTTTCGTTTGGTCTCATAGTTCAGCTGCCTCTTCTGCAGTGATCATCTGTTGTCCTGGTAACTGGGACTTAGCGCCAGGACAGTGAGTGGTAGAAAGAAAAAAAAGATGGTGAATGAGAGCATAACAACACCCTTCCCCTGTAGCCTACACTATGCTCTGTAGATCAGTAGCTCTCTATTGTTTCAGGGTATAATTGGCATGTGGTGATGATTCTGATTCTGGTGTGGATTCTCTGGGACTTCAGACTGAAAGGTCAACATCAATATGAACAGAGCCTGGTCTTTATTCTCTCTCCATTCAGCGTTACATTTTTCAATGACCTTAGCGGCCTATAGACCTACTAGTAAAGTAATCAAACTGTGGGAACTAAACTGCGCAGTGACAGCAGCGCATGCAGTGCCTTGATCGACCCGCTCGATTCAACGTGACGCTGGAACGCACCCCCAACTGGCACGTGGTCTCATTCCACGTGGGTCTCTTCTGTAGACCAGGAAGTACCGAGTGCTACAAATGACAACAAACACCGCTGAAACAGTAACAGCCAGCAACATTGTGACATCATTTGGATAACTTTGTGACAGTTTTCTATCGCATTGCAGCAATGGCGGAAGAGATTTCCTGCTTGAAGGGACGGCTTATGGAAAAAGAAAAAGAGATAGTTGCATTGAAGAATAAACTGGCACAATTAGAAAAGGTAGGCCTATGTCTCTCTTTAGCTTTTACATTGAATACCAGTAGGTAGCTGTAACCTAGTGCTTGCAGTGGCTATTTAGCAGCAGAGCAAGTCATAATGTAGCTATATGATTCAGAGTTTGAGCAAAGATGCTTTGGTTTGAGCAGCGTGTAAGACATATTTGTTGCCGGGGCGGCAGGTAGCTTAGTGGTTAAGCGCTTTGGTCGCCGAAAGGTCGCTGGTTCTAATCCCCGAGCCGACTAGGTGAAAAATCTGTCGATGTGCCCTTGAGCAAGGCACTTAACCATAATTGCTCCTGTAAATCGCTCTGGATAAGAGCGTCTGCTAAATGACTAAAATGTAAAAACTTAATATTTAGTTTGAGTCAACAAGACGAGATTTGGAAGGATAGCCTCGCGAGACTAACTAGCCTACAAATCAATTGACTTTCTGTCCCTTGACATGTTATATTTGGTTATTGTCTAAAATAACAACAACTTTAACGTATTCTGAACCACCACCCTTTCTCCACTGAAATCAGAGCAGTTTGACAGATCTGCAGCTGCAGGAGAAAGTGTCAACACTTCCACCTCTGAAACTCAAGGCAGCCCTGTCCAATGAAGACATCATGCGCTACAGCAGACAGCTTCTACTGCCAGAGTTGGGTGTTCAAGGTAATAATGACAGCTTTCACCCAATCTCTGATTGAGTCAAACACTATTGAAAAACACATTATTGAACACATCCTTTGATCTCTGCAGGTCAGCTAAACTTCTCCCAGACGTCAGTGCTGGTTGTGGGGTGTGGAGGACTAGGCTGTCCCCTGGCACAGTATCTAGCTGCAGCAGGAATCGGTAGGTAAAAATGTGGGGAAAGAGAATTTCAGTAAGTTATACCCTCCGTAATGGTCAAGGATTCATATGCTGTACATCCAAACTTAAATCCGTTAAATCCGTTCTACCTAATTTCTACCAGCATGTTAAATGTGCAACCAGAGGGGAAAAAACTCTAGACCACCTTTACTCCACACACAGAGACGCATACAAAGCTCTCCCTCGCCCTCCATTTGGCAAATCTGACCATAACTCTATCCTCCTGATTCCTGCTTATAAGCAAAAACTGAAGCAGGAAGCACCAGTGATTCGGCTAATAAAAAAGTGGTCAGATGACGCAGATGCTAAGCTACAGGACTGTTTTGCTAGCACAGACTGGAACATGTTCCGGGATTCTTCAGACAACATTGAGGAGTACACCACATCAGTCACTGGCTTCATCAATAAGTGCATCGATGATGTCGTCCCCACAGTGACCGTACGTACATACCCCAACCAGAAGCCATGGATTACAGGAAACATCCGCACTGAGCTAAAGGGTAGAGCTGCCGCTTTCAAGGAACGGGACTCTAACCCGGACGCTTATAAGAAATCCCGCTATGACCTCCGACGAACCATCAAACAGGCAAAGAGTCAATACAGGTCTAAGATTGAATCATACTACACTGGCTCTGACGCTCGTCGGATGTGGCAGGGCTTGAAAACTATTACAGACTACAAAGGGAAGCACAGCCGCGAGCTGCCCAGTGACACAAGCCTACCAGACGAGCTAAACCACTTCTATGCTCGCTTCGAGGCAAGCAACACTGAAGCATGCATGAGAGCACCAGCTGTTCCGGACGACTATGTGATCACGCTCTCCGTAGCCGATGTGAGTAAGACTTTTAAGCAGGTCAACATTCACAAGGCCGCAGGGCCAGACGGATTACCAGGACGTGTACTCCGAGCATGTGCTGACCAACTGGCAAGTGTCTTCACTGACATTTTCAACATGTCCCTGACTGAGTCTGTAATACCAACATGTTTCAAGCAGACCACCATAGTCCCCGTGCCCAAGAACTCTAAGATAACCTGCCTAAATGACTACCGACCCGTGGCACTGACGTCTATAGCCATGAAGTGCTTTGAAAGACTGGTCATGGCTCACATCAACAGCATAATCCCAGAAACCCTAGACCCACTCCAATTTGCATACCGCCCCAACAGATCCACAGATGATGCAATCTCTATCGCACTCCACACTGCCCTTTCCCACCTGGACAAGAGGAACACCTACGTGAGAATGCTATTCATTGACTACAGCTCAGCATTCAACACCATAGTGCCCTCAAAGCTCATCACTAAGCTAAGGATCCTGGGACTAAACACCTCCCTCTGCAACTGGATCCTGGACTTCCTGACGGGCCGCCCCCAGGTGGTAAGGGTAGGTAACAACACATCTGCCACACTGATCCTCAACACGGGGGCCCCTCAGGGGTGCGTGCTCAGTCCCCTCCTGTACTCTCTGTTCACCCATGACTGCATGGCCAGGCACGACTCCAACACCATCATTAAGTTTGCCGACGACACAACAGTGGTAGGCCTGATCACCGACAACGATGAGACAGCCTATAGGGAGGAGGTCAGAGATCTGGCCGTGTGGTGCCAGGACAACAACCTCTCCCTCAACGTGACCAAGACAAAGGAGATGATTGTGGACTACAGGAAAAAAAAGAGGACTGAGCACGCCCCCATTCTCATCGACGGGGCTGTAGTGGAACAGGTTGAGAGCTTCAAGTTCCTTGGTGTCCACATCACCAACGAACTATCATGGTCCAAACACACCAAGACAGTCGTGAAGAGGGCACGACAAAGCCTATTCCCCCTCAGGAGACTAAAAAGATTTGGCATGGGTCCTCAGATCCTCAAAAAATTCTACAGCTGCACCATCGAGAGCATCCTGACTGGTTGCATCACCGCCTGGTATGGCAACTGCTTGGCCTCTGACCGCAAGGCACTACAGAGGGTAGTGCGTACGGCCCAGTACATCACAGGGGCAAAGCTCCCTGCCATCCAGGACCTCTATACCAGGCGGTGTCAGAGGAAGGCCCTCAAAATTGTCAAAGACTCCAGTCACCCTAGTCATAGACTGTTCTCTCTGCTACCGCACGGCAAGCGGTACCGGAGTGCCAAGTCTAGGTCCAAAAGACTTCTCAACAGCTTCTACCCCCAAGCCATAAGACTCCTGAACAGCTAATCATGGCTACCCGGACTATTTGCACTGCCCCCCCACCCCATACTTTTTACGCTGCTGCTACTCTGTTAAGTATTTATGCATAGTCACTTTAACTCTACCCACATGTACATATTACCTCAACTACCTCAACTAGCCGGTGCCCCCGCACATTGACTATGCAACGGTACCCCCCTGTATATATAGCCTCCCTACTGTCACTTTATTCTATTGTATATATAGCCTCCCTACTGTCACTTTATTTTTACTTCTGCTCTTTTTTTCTCAACACTTTTTTTGTTGTTGTTTTATTCTTACTTTTTTTGTTTAAAATAAATGCACTGTTGGTTAAGGGCTGTAAGTAAGCATTTCACTGTAATGTCTGCACCTGTTGTATTCGGCGCATGTGACCAATAAAATTTGATTTGATTTGATTTGAAATAGATGTACAAGTCCCTTGAATCAATACAAATCAACAAAGCATTTGAGGATGGCATAACTTCACAAATTATTAGGTAGGCCTAATACATGTAACAGACCTGTGAACCTTTAGGGATATGCAATACTTATGTGTGTGTACACTGTTATAACATGGGTCCATCCCTTTATTACCCCAGGGCGTGTGGGTCTTCTGGACTATGATAAGGTGGAGCTGAGTAACCTGCACAGACAGGTGCTCCATGGAGAGGACAGCCAGGGCCAGGCCAAGGCCCAGTCTGCTGCCCACGCTGTCAGAAGGTACAGGAGGCAACTGGGGCCTGCACAGGCTGGTACATGGACTGCAATCATGTCTGTCACTGGCATGTAGGCCTACCATAAGTTGGTTCATTCACTGCCATCTCACTACAATGTCACAGGTTGTATTACACTATTGTTTTGACTGTCCACAAATAATCAACTATTTTGCTCTGTTTATTTATTTTTGAAAGCACTGATTGTGGTCCTTCGCTCACTGATGCTGCAGTACTGTGATTAACCTCCACAGCATAGCTATAGCCACTTGGTGGTGCCATTTACCCAAACAGCAATAGCTTGCTTTCAGATAAACTGTATAGGCATAGTCCCCACTCTTATTTGTTAGTGTACATACAGTACATTAATGGTATTGCAATTGAATGTTAAAATCCTACTCCAGTCTCCTTTTCACCTCATTTAACACCTGATTGACTTAACAAAAGGCACATCTCAAAATGTGGTCCAGGTGCCTCATGACATGGCACAAGTGGGGGTATTTATACTTGGGATATCGCTTTTCAACAGGAAAATCACTGGAGGGTGTCTTTAAGGTTTTGGCATTCAGAGGAAAAGAGCATTAGCAAGCCAATATTTTGTGCAGTAGTTCTTGCTCTCCAAAATTAGCATGATGGGTTGAATGTGAATGGCCTTGTCTGTCCTTTTTATGTGTCTACAGGTTGAACTCCACAGTAGAATGCATTCCCTACCACCTCCAGCTCTCTCCAGAGAACGCCTTACAGCTCATCCAACAGTATCCTCCCTCTCAGCCTTGTACCTTTATATTATCTTACAGGGGCTAAAGAAGAGGTTTTAGTGTTTGTCAAACAGGATTTCCGTGTCATCAAATCCAATAGTCAAACATTTACCATAACACTGTGACTTTTTGAGCGAAGAAAATCACTGCATTTTTACTCCTTGACATTATCCACCTCATGTACGACATTGTGGCTGACTGTTCGGACAACGTTCCCACCCGGTATCTGGTGAATGATGCCTGTGTCCTCAGTGGCAAGCCCCTAGTATCTGCCAGTGCCCTGAGAATGGAGGGCCAGGTAAGGATCTAGTTACATTTGAGTCTCTATATTTAAGTCCCCACATGCTAACTGGATTTACATAAATGTCTGACAGATGACTGACTAGTAAATGGAATGTGTTTATTGATTCTCCTTTCTGCATAGTAACCCCTCTTGTCTGTGTCTAGCTGACAGTGTATAACTACCGTGGAGGCCCCTGCTACAGGTGCCTGTACCCAAAGCCTACACCCCCAGAGATGGTGACCAACTGCTCTGATGGAGGGATCCTAGGAGTTGGTGAGTCCTCTTCTAATTCATGTCGTTACTCTTAGGTAGAGAGAGGAATATATTGTTGATGTTGCACTCTTATTTCTTAGTGCCAGGGATCATGGGATGCTTCCAAGCGTTGGAGGTCCTGAAGATTGCCTCCAGACAGGGCTGTATCCTTCCCAGTGAAAGCTCCCTGAGTCACTCCACTGCCCCACTACTTAGCTACTGTACAATGAAACAACACGTTCTGCTTAGTCATGGTGCTGACTGGATGAATTAAAGCCTGAATGAGTCAGTGTAGCATGGGAAGGAAGGGGTGTTTTTCTTCATGACCATGCCCATCTGATAACGCTTGACGAAAAGAGAGGAAATTCTGTAAATTTTCAGGGCCTTTATGAGGTCTGTTTCTGAAAATACAAAGAACATTGTGATGTTTGTCAGTCAGACAGGAGCCTTTTCCTTGACTGAGTGTGACAGCTTCCTGTGGCCAACAGCTGTTGATGTTTGATGCCCAGGATGCAAAATTCCGGTCCATCAGGCTGCGGTCCAAGCAGGCCAGCTGTGCTGTGTGTGGCGAGAACCCCACTGTCACACACCTAGTGGACTATGAGAAGTTCTGTAGGTCTGCTGCCACAGATAAGGTCAGGGGTCGCTGAGAAGAGGGGCCATGTAGGTAAACATATTGCATATTGAGTTGCAATTTAATACAGTTCAAGGGGTTAAGTTATCATTTTAAATTAAGGGGAGGTGGTATGTCTCAATCTAAAATGGCCAAAGTGAGTGTCATCACGGCTTAGAAACTACACGTAGCACATGGGATGTTGTGCCAGGAAAATGGGTTAATTATCCATCATTTAGATAAATAGCAGAGATATGCACTGTATGTCAAAAGGAGTTTTCCGTACTTTGCTCGACTAAAAAAACATTTTCCATCAATTATAGGACAATTTTAGTTTCAATGTTTGCTTTGAATATTTACCTAATATTTTCTGGGTTTTCTTTCAGTGTCGAAGACTAAACCTTCTCTCCAAAGACCAGAGGGTAACAGTGCAGGTAGAGTATAGTCGATGACTTTCTGTTTTATAATTATGATTATTGCATGATTACACTTGATTTTCTGTGATTCGTGTGCATTCATAAACCCAGATTAAATCTAAAAGCTGACCCAACCCTAAATGGGAAATGACTAAAACTCGAATGTACGTTTTCTACGGAAAATAATAACATATTTGTTAGTTGGCACTGACAGAAATGGTGGTGGTTTAGGAGTTGTTTGGGTTTCTGCTAAATCACAGGTTTAAAAAGAATTGAGCCATTAAGATGAAGATTATTTTTATTTAACCTTTATTTAACTAGGCAAATCAGTTAAGAACAAATTTATTATTTACAATGACGGCCTAACCGGCCAAACCCTCCCCTAACCCGGACGACGCTGGGCCAATTGTGCGCCTCCCTATGGGACTCCCGATCACGGCCGGTTGTGATCGAACCCGGGTCTGTAGTAACGCCTCTAGCACTGCGATGCAGTGCCTTAGACCGCTGCGCCACTCAGTCCCCTAATCATGATTGATTGGCCTATAATAGAGGTTATGCAAGGCATGGAGTTGGAAACAGTTTTATTTCCTATAATTGAAATAATGTGACAAAACGTTTAACGTACTCCACCCAACTCCACTCAAAAAAGGCAACCAGTTGTACAATGCATATAGTGAATAGCCTAAGCAACTCAACCAGTCTTTGTGCCATCTTTGTGTCATCTCACATAATACCAGCAACTTGAATTTGGATGTGGCAGACCTTTAAACAATACACTGTCTAACAAAGTGAGTGCTGTAAGTGACCATTGACAACCATTGTAATTTCTCCTTTGTATTGCCAGGAGTATAAATCTATAGTGGACAACACGGCTGCTCATCTCCTGCTGGACGTACGCCCTCTAGTGGAGGTGGATATATGTCACCTGCCCACCTCCCTCAGTATCCTTCTGCTGGCTAAATGCCCTCCTGTCATTGTACTCCACTAGCTATATAGTTACCATTAGCAAGATATGGAGTTAGTGAGGAGGATATAAATACTATAAATACTGCTATTAATAACGTCAGTCATCCCTGTGCTTTCATAAGTGTTCTGATCTGAGTTAATTGTACTCGATTCAATGGTAAGTTATGTTTAATTTCCTTATATCATTGCTAGACATTCCTCTCTCCAGTTTAGAGGACAGGAAAAGTGAACATATCCGAGTGCTGAAAGAGAGCATTGGCCGAGTGAAAGAGCAGATGTCGAGTGAATCCCAGGTCCCAGGTAACATGACTGACAATACAGTAAATAATAATAAATAATATGCCATTTAGCAGACACTTTTATCCAAAGCGACTTACAGTCATGCGTGCATACATTTTTACGTATGGTGCATTGCAAAACTATTCATCCCCCTTGGCGATTTCCTATTTTGTTGCATTACAACCTGTAATTTAAATAGATTTTTATTTGGATTTCATGTAATGGACATACACAAAATAGTCAAAATTGGTGAAGTGAAATGAAAAAAATAACTTTTTCTAAAAAATAAATAACGGAAAAGTGGTGCGTGCATATGTATTCACCCCCTTTGCTATGAAGCCCCTAAATAAGATCTGGTGCAACCAATTACCTTCAGAAGTCACATAATTAGTTAAATAAAGTCCACCTATGTGCAATCTAAGTGTCACATGATCTGTCACATGATCTCCGTATATATACACCTGTTCTGAAAGTCCCCAGAGTCTGCAACACCACTAAGCAAGGGGCACCACCAAGCAAGCGGCACCATGAAGACCAAGGAGTTCTCCAAACAGGTCAGGGACAAAGTTGTGGAGAAGTATATTGAAAGAATATGGCACCACAACAAACCTGCCAAGAGAGGGCCGTCCACCAAAACTCTCGGAGCAGGCAAGGAGTGCATTAATCAGAGAGACAACATAGAGACCAAAGATAACCCTGAAGGAGCTGCAAAGCTCCACAGCGGAGATTGGAGTATCTGTCCATAGGACCACTTTAAGCTGTACAGTCCACAGAGCTGGGCTTTACGGAAGAGTGGCCAGAAAAAATCCATTGCTTAAAGAAAAAATAAGGTACTCTGGTCAGATGAGACTAAAATTGAGCTTTTTGGCCATCAAGGAAAACACTATGTCTGGCGCAAACCCAGCACCTCTCATCACCCCAAGAACACCATCGGCAGGGTCTGGGAAACTGGTCAGAATTGAAGGAATGATGGATGGCGCTAAATACAGGGAAATTCTTGAGGGAAACCTGTTTCAGTCTTCCAGAGATTTGAGACTGGGACAGAGGTTCACCTTCCAGCAGGACAATGACCCTAAGCATACTGCTAAAGCAACAGTCGAGTGGTTTAAGTGGAAACATTTAAATGTCTTGGAACGGCCTAGTCAAAGCCCAGACCTCAATCCAATTGAGAATCTGTGGTATGACTTAAAGATTGCTGTACACCAGCGGAACCCATCCAACTTGAAGGAGCTGAAGCAGTTTTGGCTTGAAGAATGGGCAAAAATCCCAGTGGCTAGATGTGCAAAGCTTATAGAGACATACCCCAAGAGACTTGCAGCTGTAATTGCTGCAAAAGGTGGCTCTACAAAGTATTGACTTTGGGGGGGGGGGGGGGGTGAATAGTTATGCACGCTCAAGTTTTCAAGTTGTCTTATTTCTTGTTTGTTTCACAAGAAGAAAAATTTGCATCTTCAAAGTGGTAGGCATGTTGTATAAATCAAATGATACAACCCCCCAAAAAATCCATTTTAATTCCAGGTTGTAAGGCAACAAAATAGGAAAAATGCCAAGGGGAGTGAATACTTTCGCAAGCCACTGTAGGTCTCCATATAGCTTCGCAGGTTACAACACGCAGTGGCTATTCAGTAGCTAGCTAGGTGTATGGAGCAGCTCTATATTCACTGAACAAAAGAGGGGTAATTTGAGTGCTAATTAAGTCTGTATAGCCTTGTACTGCGAGGGTATTCGCCTATTTTGGACAGCCATTGACGGGAGGTGGAGTTGCTAGGTAATCCTTTTTCCAAAACAAGAATATACTGTCATCGTGAACAGCTGGCCTCTTTTTATTGAATAGTCATCATGGTCTTTATTTCTGCAGAGTGTATTTCCAGCAAGCCTGTGTATATTTTGTTATTAATTAGCTATTTTAATTGGTAATTCTGGGAACGACAGTGTAAACACAGACCTTTTAGTTGAACTAGTACACCTTGAAAGTTTCAAATCGATTCAGGTGTCAAGAGTGAAAGAAGGGACCTGAGTTTACAAGTCATATCATGTCCATAACACATCCAATAGTGAATTAGAATACCATGCCATAGCTCTGATTCTGGACAAGCATCAAACAAGGAATATTTCTTGCCCATTTTATACATTCAACTTACAACTCACCTAGTCTTGCATAGCCAGCCAGACGTGGTATTCTTGTGAGATGCCAGGAAATCGAAGCTACTCATCAATTTGATCTGTTTGTGTTTCACTGCTGCAGTGTATGTGATCTGTAAGCTGGGTAATGACTCCCAGAAGGCAGTTCAGGTCATGGAGAAGATGTCGGGCTCTGAAGTGGACTTTGTCACTGTTAAAGACATCTGTGGAGGGCTGATGGCCTGGGCCCAGAAGATAGACCCGTCTTTCCCACAGTATTGACTCAACGTCACAGGTTCTGCACTATGGTTTCATGACTTTGTTAATAAACATGTTCATAAATGTGTCATCATAGCAACTGTTTTTCTGCCTTAACATGTTTTATGTATGCTGGTTGCACTGGGCATTGCAAACCTGACGGACAGATGAAATTGCAGTTACATCTTACAGGTGAAAAGTGAAAGAAATAGTCACATATCCGCTGTTCGTGTGTTCTAGATTGTATTATTTTTATATATATATATATATATATATATATATATATATATATATATATATATATATACACACACACACACAGTGGGGAAAAAAAGTATTTAGTCAGCCACCAATTGTGCAAGTTCTCCCACTTAAAAAGATGAGAGGCCTGTAATTTTCATCATAGGTACACGTCAACTATGACAGACAAATTGAGAATTTTTTTCTCCAGAAAATCACATTGTAGGATTTTTTATGAATTTATTTGCAAAATATGGTGGAAAATAAGTATTTGGTCACCTACAAACAAGCAAGATTTCTGGCTCTCACAGACCTGTAACTTCTTCTTTAAGAGGCTCCTCTGTCCTCCACTCGTTACCTGTATTAATGGCACCTGTATGAACTTGTTATCAGTATAAAAGACACCTGTCCACAACCTCAAACAGTCACACTCCAAACTCCACTATGGCCAAGACCAAAGAGCTGTCAAAGGACACCTGAAACAAAATTGTAGACCTGCACCAGGCTGGGAAGACTGAATCTGCAATAGGTAAGCAGCTTGGTTTGAAGAAATCAACTGTGAGAGCAATTATTAGGAAATGGAAGACATACAAGACCACTGATAATCTCCCTCGATCTGGGGCTACACGCAAGATCTCACCCGTGGGGTCAAAATGATCACAAGAACGGTGAGCAAAAATCCCAGAACCACACGGGGGGACCTAGTGAATGACCTGCAGAGAGCTGGGACCAAAGTAATAAAGCCTACCATCAGTAACACACTACGCCGCCAGGGACTCAAATCCTGCAGTGCAGACGTGTCCCCCTGCTTAAGCCAGTACATGTCCAGGCCCGTCTGAAGTTTGCTAGAGTGCATTTGGATGATCCATAAGAGGATTGGGAGAATGTCATATGGTCAGATGAAACCAAAATATAACTTTTTGGTAAAAACTCAACTCGTCGTGTTTGGAGGACAAAGAATGCTGAGTTGCATCCAAAGAACACCATACCTACTGTGAAGCATGGGGGTGGAAACATCATGCTTTGGGGCTGTTTTTCTGCAAAGGGACCAGGACGACTGATCCGTGTAAAGGAAAGAATGAATGGGGCCATGTATCGTGAGATTTTGAGTGAAAACCTCCTTCCATCAGCAAGGGCATTGAAGATGAAACGTGGCTGGGTCTTTCAGCATGACAATGATCCCAAACACACTGCCCGGGCAACGAAGGAGTGGCTTCGTAAGAAGCATTTCAATGTCCTGGAGTGGCCTAGCCAGTCTCCAGATCTCAACCCCATAGAAAATCTTTGGAGGGAGTTGAAAGTCCGTGTTGCCCAGCGACAGCCCCAAAACATCACTGCTCTAGAGGAGATCTGCATGGAGGAATGGGCCAAAATACCAGCAACAGTGTGTGTGAACCTTGTGAAGACTTACAGAAAACATTTGACCTGTGTCATTGCCAACAAAGGGTATATAACAAAGTATTGAGAAACTTTTGTTATTGACCAAAATACTTATTTTCCACCATAATTTGCAAATAAATTCATTAAAAATCCTACAATGTGATTTTCTGGATTTTTTTTCTCATTTTGTCTGTCATAGTTGACGTGTACCTATGATGAAAATTACAGGCCTTTCTCATCTTTTTAAGTGGGAGAACTTGCACAATTGGTGGCTGACTAAATACTTTTTTTCCCCACTGTGTATGTGTGTGTGTATATATATATATATATATATATATATATATATATATATATATATTACACACACAGTGGGGAGAACAAGTATTTGAAACACTGCCGATTTTGCAGGTTTTCCTACTTACAAAGCATGTAGAGGTCTGTAATTTTTATCATAGGTACACTTCAACTGTGAGAGACGGAATCTAAAACAAAAATCTAGAAAATCACATTGTATGATTTTTAAGTAATTCATTTGCATTTTATTCCATGACATAAGTATTTGATCACCTACCAACCAGTAAGAATTCCGGCTCTCACAGACCTGTTAGTTTTTCTTTAAGAAGCCCTCCTGTTCTCCACTCATTACCTGTATTAACTGCACCTGTTTGAACTCGTTACCTGTATAAAAGACACCTGTCCATACACTCAATCAAACAGACTCCAACCTCTCCACAATGGCCAAGACCAGAGAGCTGTGTAAGGACATCGGGGATAAAATTGTAGACCTGCACAAGGCTGGGATGGGCTACAGGACAATAGGCAAGCAGCTTGGTGAGAAGGCAACAACTGTTGGTGCAATTATTAGAAAATGGAAGAAGTTCAAGATGACGGTCAATCACCCTCGGTCTGGGGCTCCATGCAATATCTCACCTCGTGGGGCATCAATGATCATGAGGAAGGTAAGGGAACAGCCCAGAACTACACGGCAGGACCTGGTCAATGACCTGAAGAGAGCTGGGACCACAGTCTCAAAGAAAACCATTAGTAACACACTACGCCGTCATGGATTAAAATCCTGCAGCGCAAGCAAGGTCCCCCTGCTCAAGCCAGCGCATGTCCAGGCCCGTCTGAAGTTTGCCAATGACCATCTGGATGATCCAGAGGAGGAATGGGAGAAGGTCCTGTGGTCTGTTGAGACAAAAATAGAGCTTTTTGGTCTAAACTCCACTCGCCGTGTTTGGAGGAAGAAGAAGGATGAGTACAACCCCAAGAACACCATCCCAACCGTGAAGCATGGAGTTGGAAACATAATTCTTTGGGGATGCTTTTCTGCAAAGGGGACAGGACGACTGCACAGTATTGAGGGGAGGATGGATGGGGCCATGTATCGCGAGATCTTGGCCAACAACCTCCTTCCCTCAGTAAGAGCATTGAAGATGGGTCGTGGCTGGGTCTTCCAGCATGACAACGACCCGAAACACACAGCCAGGGCAACTAAGGAGTGGCTCCGTAAGAAGCATCTCAAGGTCCTGGAGTGGCCTAGCCAGTCTCCAGACCTGAACCCAATAGAAAATCTTTGGAGGGAGCTGAAAGTCCGTATTGCCCAGCGACAGCCCCGAAACCTGAAGGATCTGGAGAAGGTCTGTATGGAGGAGTGGGCCAAAATCCCTGCTGCAGTGTGTGCAAACCTGGTCAAGACCTACAGGAAACGTATGATCTCTGTAATTGCAAACAAAGGTTTCTGTACCAAATATTAGGTTCTGCTTTTCTGATGTATCAAATACTTATGTCATGCAATAAAATGCAAATTAATTACTTAAAAATCATACAATGTGATTTTCTGGATTTTTCTTTTAGATTCTGTCTCTCACAGTTGAAGTGTACCTATGATAAAAATTACAGACCTCTACATGATTTGTAAGTAGGAAAACCTGCAAAATCGGCAGTGTATCAAATACTTGTTCTCCCCACTGTGTGTGTGTGGATATATATATATATATATATATATATATATATATATATATATATATATACACAGTTGAAGTCAGAAGTTTACATACACTTAGGTTGGAGTCATTAAAACTTGTTTTTCAACCATTCCACACATTTCTTGTTAACAAACTATAGTTTTGGCAAGTCGGTTAGGACATCTACTTTGTACATGACACAAGTAATTTTTTCAACAATTATTTACAGACAGATTATTTCACTTATAATTCACTGTATCACAATTCCAGTGGGTCAGAAGTTTACATACACTAAATTGACTGTGCCTTTTAAACAGCTTGGAAAATTCCAGAAAATGTCATGGCTTTAGAAGCTTTTGATAGGCTAATTGACATAATTTGAGTCAATTGGAGGTGCGGATGTTTTTCAAGGCCTACCTTCAAACTCAGAGTCTCTTTGCTTGACCTCAGTGCCAAGACCTCATAAAAAAATGTTTTACCTCCACAAGTGTGGTTCATCCTTGGGAGCAATTTCCAAACACCTGAAGGTACCACGTTCATCTGTACAAACAATAGTACGCAAGTATAAACACCACGGGACCACGCAGCCGTCATACTGCTCAGGAAGGAGACGCGTTCTGTCTCCTAGAGATGAACGTACTTTGGTGCGAAAAGTGCAAATCAATCCCAGAACAACAGCAAAGGACCTTGTGAAGATGCTGGAGGAAACAGGTGCAAAAGTATCTATATCCACAGTAAAACGAGTCCTATATCGACATAACCTGAAAGGCCCGCGCATTAAGGAAGAAGCCACTGCTCCAAAACCGCCATAAAAATGCCAGACTATGGTTTGCAACTGCACATGGGGACAAAGATTGTACTTTTTGGAGAAATGATGAAACAAAAATAGAATTGTTTGGCCATAATGACCATCGTTATGTTTGGAGGAAAAACGGGGACGCTTGCAAGCCGAAGAACATCATCCCAACCGTGAAGCACGGGGGTGGCAGCATCATGCTCTAGGGGTGCTTTGCTGCAGGAGGGACTGGTGCACTTCACAAAATAGATGGCATCATGAGGAAGGAAAATTATGTGGATATATTGAAGCAACATCTCAAGACATCAGTCAGGAAGTTAAAGCTTGGTCGCAAATGGATCTTCCAAATGGACAATGACCCCAAGCATACTTCCGAAGTTGTGGCAAAATGGCTTAAGGACAACAAAGTCAAGGTATTGGAGTGGCCAATACAAAGCCCTGACCTCAATCCTATAGAAAATGTGTGGGTAGAACTGAAAAAGCATATGCGAGGAAGGAGGCCTACAAACCTGACTCAGTTACTCCATCTCTTACAGGAGGAATGGGCCAAAATTCACCCAACTTATTGTGGGAAGCTTGTGGAAGGCTACCCAAAACATTTGACCCAAGTTAAACAATTTAAAGGCAATGCTACCAAATACTAATTGAGTGTATGTAAACGTCTGACCCACTGGGAATGTGATGAAATAAATAAAAGCTGAAATAAATCATTCTCTCTACTATTATTATGACATTTCACATTCTTAAAATAAAGTGGTGATCCTAACTGACCTAAGACAGGGAATTTTTACTAGGATTAAATGTCAGGAATTGTGAAAAACTGAGTTTAAATGTATTGTAAGGTGTATGTAAACTTCTGACTTCAAC